TTTGTATTAAAATAAAACTGCCTCCCTGACAACTTCTATTTGTCTTAGTTCTGGGAAAGTAGTCAGTGTCAAGGAAAAGCTAGTAGTAATGGGAAAACGGGATGTATTTTAAAACACAGCTAAAATACTGGGTTGGCCTCTTCTTTTTGAAATATAATTATAACTGTCATGAGAAGCCAGGAAGCCTCTTAAATATCTGTGAAGACGCGGCTCAATGAGAGGGGAAAGTTTGCCAAAGTCTATAAAGCCCTGGGGAAAGCTCAGAACAAGTTACTGTTGAATAGATTCAATCCTGGAAGAATGTCATTATAAACAATGGCAGGTTCAACCTCATAGTCTGACTCCCAGAACCATTCAATCCCACCCAGATACTCCCCACCCTCTGAGCCAGTAATAGGCCCTGCCTAGGACATCATGGGCATGATAGAAGCACAATAGAAATTATGCTGGGTCAGTGAAAATAATGACAACAACAATAATAAATATAACTATAATTTCTATAGAGAAGGTTTTCAATGTATTTTCCATTACAATCCTTTGAAACTAGTAGTATAGATGCCATCATCTCCAGTTTATAGATGAGGGAGTTGAGCCTCAAGAGAGAAAAGACTTCCCCAAACAATTAGTATATTCTGAGCTAGGATGTAAACGTTAATGTTACAATAATATCTCCCATTATTCTAGTGCTTAAATTTTCAAAGGAAAAATATTGCTGAAAGAGGACCTGGGTTTGAATGTAGGATCTGCCACTTAATATCTATGTGATCTTAGGCAACTTCCTTTCTCTCTGGGCCTTCTTTGTTTTTGTTTTTATTTTGTTTGTTTGTTTGTTTTCCCTGTATAATTTAAGTGGGTGGATTAGATATTCTTTAGGATCCCATTCAGCTTTAAAATTCATTCCTCTTCCCCAATAAGTTGAAAACCTGACTCAGTCTTCTTCTCCACCCCTACCCATAGCCTCTTTGAACACCCTGTGCTCTAGTTACTTAATCTCCCCAAAACATGAGCTCTGTTGCTCCCTCTCAAGTGGACCTTAAGCATGTGCAGGAACGCTCATATTTTAAACAGACTTCTCCAGTCCCTACCTTCACCACTGTGGAAGGCAGCTCTATACATTCAATTCATTTTTAAAAGCATTAAATTCCTATCATATGTAAAGCTTTCTTTTCTGCTTGTATCTGGGAAATCAAAACTGAAAATAAACATAGGGTTCACCCTGAAGAAGCTCACAATAATGAAAAAGATGCTGGCCTGGGCGGTTTATTAAACATTGGATTATTGAATTTCATGGTTTCTGGCTTTTTTACTTTTTATTTTTAAAATCAATTCCATTGATCTGCTTCTCTATTTAAAAAAAATAATAACTCTTGCTTTATAATATGATTGGAGGTCTGGAGTTGCTACTCCCCATTCATTGCTACTTCCATCATTATTTCCCTTGACAGTCTAATCCTTTATTTCTACAAATGAACTTTGTTATCATTTCATCAAGTTCTATAAAGAATCCTTTTGATTAATTGAGTAGTTTAGCATTAAAATAATAAATTAACTTTGAAAACATTGTCATTTTTTAAATATTATTGGTATGCATGAGAACTGAGTATTCCTTCAGCTGTTTAAGTTGTTTATTTCTGTAAGGAGAATTTTTAAATTTAATCTGTACAAGTTTTTTTGGATCTCAAATTGTTTTTCATTTTTAATTGTTTTGATTGGAATTTATCTTTATAATTTCCTATTGTATTTTTTTATTGTGTAAAAATGGTTTTTTGAGAGTTTTTTTTTAGCCTGCAACATTGCCAAAGCTATTAATGGCTTCTATTAGTATCTTTAATGATTGTCTGGGATTTGTTAAGTGTATCATTGTGTCATCAGGAAATATAGATACTTTCATCACTTTTCTGCCTATGTTTATGACTTTATTTTCTCTTGTTGTGTGGCTATTCCTAATATTATAGAACTGTAGTATTACTTACTAATATATTTACTGAGAAAACTTCTGCTTCCTTATTATATAAGATGCTTTTGATTTTTGATGCTACTTTTAATTATATTTTTCTAAAAGTTTCCTTTATTCCAACATTTTGTTGGTTCATTAATCCTTTCCTTTTCTATTTTTTCTTTCTTTCTTTTTTTTTTTGGTTAGGCAGTGGGTTAAGTGGCTTGCCCAGGGTCACACAGCTAGTAATTGTTGAATGCCTGAGGCCAGATTTGAACTCAGGTCCTCTTGACTCCAGGGCTGGTGCTCTGTGCACTGTGCCACCTAACTGCACCCTCTCTTTTTCTCTTCTGCTAGTTTATATTTTGAGAGAATATAACTTTTCCCTGAGGACTCCACTCCAGGAATTCTGGCATGTTGTTTCATCATTATAATTTCATTTCATTTGTTTCTGTGATTTATTCTTTGATTATTTAGAATTTCATTGACAAATATCCATTTGGGTCTGCTTCTTTTGCTTGCTCCTCCAAAGCTGATTATTATTTTGATGCATTATAATATGTAAAGGATATATTTGCTATATTTTCCCCCATTTTTACATTTATTTGCAACATCTCTGTGCCCTGACATATGGTCAAATTTTATAAAAATTCCATCTAATAATAAGAAATATAGGTTTTCTTTAGCTTTTAGATGTCTAGCTTCTCCAGAAATGTGTTCAATTTCATATTTTTCCTTTTGTTTATCTTTTTGCTAGATTTATCAGAAACTGAGAGACTGATGTTGAAGTCTCCTTCTATTACTGAGTTATTATCCGTTTTTAATTTTATTTTGTCTTTTTGTAATTCACCTTTTTTCTCCCCTTCATGTATTTAGATGCAAAGACACCTGAAGCAAAGAAATTTAACATTGATATTGTTTTATTATCTATGGTTCCTTTCAGCATAATGTAATTTCCTAGTTTATCTCTATTTTGAGAATTTTTGGAGTTTGCTTCATCTCACATTATTATAACTTTTTTTTGTTTCATGTCATACATTGCTAATTTTATTTTAGGTCTTTATTTTTATTCTGTGTGTGTCTTTTAGGAGTATTACTTTTAATCAATTATTTGAGGTTTTGATTTATCTAATCTATCACTCTTATTTTATTATATATTTTAAGTCTTTCCATTTGAAGTTATGTGAGTTTAATTTATATTTTCCTACAAAGATCTTTAAGATTTTTTTTTCTGAATTAAGAATATTTTTATTTTTCTTTCTCCATAAAGATAGTATTTTGTCTTTTCAGTTATTTTTGATTAATGTAATTTAAGACAACCTTATTCCTATATGTTCTTTTCCTCTCCTTCTTAATTCCCCCTTCTTACCCCATTTTACCCCCTTTTTTCAGTTTTGAAGTGCCATTCATTCCTTTTATCCAATTCTTCCCCTTTTTACTGTTAAAATTGCCTTCCTCCCTTCTCCCTCAACTTTTTAAAAATTTTCTAAAGAATTTTCTTTAAAAAATCTATTTTTTAATTTTTTCCAAAGAATTAATTTCATCCTCTTATTCTATTCTCAACTTTCATTAATTCATATACCTTATGCTTATTTATTATGTCTTCACTCTCTGTATTTCTCATGGATTCAAAGCTTCTAAAGTTTTCAGTTTCTTCTTCTAAATAATATCTATGTTTTTGCCTTGTAGATCTTGCCTCCTTTTTTGTCATGTATCACTCTTAGAAATATCAGTTCCTGCAGGAGATAGACACAATATAAATATTGCTTCATGGGAGATTTTTTTTTATTGTCTCATCATTAATACAAACCGTTTTTGCCTCCTTCCCTCCCCATTATCATTTTCTTTCCAATTTGCTATGAAATCTTCTCTCCCTTATGGATGCCACTTTCCTTAAGAAGCTGTCATTCTCCTTTTCTTGAAGTAGAATGCTATCCATTAAGGGGCAATATGATTTCAGAGGTAGTTGCTTCTTTGAATACCAATTTCCTATGTGTATAATGATTTATTATCACTTTTGTCTCACAGATTTTCCAAAACAGCAGAGAAAGATGTAAATCTGAGGGCCATTTCCCCTAGGCCAAAACCAAGTTCTTTGCAGCAGATCCATTTACTTAAAATATGGGCAGTCTTAGGTGATCTTCTACCTTGAATATGAGTGTCCATCTAAGCTTTACCCATTACATGGAGACAGCAGCCTGAGAGAAATCAACCTGCTTGTTTTCTATTGGGAAAAGAAAATTTAAAGGAGAGTGCTTAGTTGGCCAACTTTGCTCCATACTGACACCTGCTGGTTACATGTAAAATGGAGTCCCATCAAAGGGTATCTAAGACTCCAGCTAATTCAACATTCTGTGATTAATTAATATAGTGTCACAACACACATCCACATATGAGTTTTGCATGTACTAGAAACAATAGTGGGGTTGTTGTCAGAAGTCCTGTGTTTTAATCCTAATGCTGTCATTTAACTGTTGTGTGACCTTGAGTTATTCACTTCCTCTCTCTTGACCTCTGTTTCCTTCTCTATAAGATGGATTTAATAAAGCTTATAAAGTTCCAACCTCATAGAACTAAGATTTTTTTAAATATCTCTTTCAGATCAAATTCTATGATTCAACAATCCTTTAAAACGCTTATGGGGATATAGACTTAGAAGAGAGCTTAGAGAATATAAAATGAAAGAGATGGACTAAATGATTTCTTTTCTTTTAACACCCATCATCCTATCATTTTCTAGTATAATCCTTTGCTTTACATATGAGAGAAGTTTAATGTATGATGCCCAGGGAGTGAGTTTTATACATGAAGGCCAGAGAAGGTAACTTTCCCAAAGTTAAATAAGTAAAAGAATCAGGATGTGAAACCAGGTCCTGACTCCAAATCCAGTGCCCTTCAGTCATGATTGAAGAGCACTCTGTGCCAATGAACAGTTCAATAACTTTTTTTTATTTTTGTAATTATTACCTGACCTATGACCATTTCACCTCTTAAAAATAATCAAATTATTTAGGTGCTAAGCACATTGATACAAGAAAAACATACAATTTTAAGAAGTCCTGCAGAGAATTATTTATTGAGGAAGAAAATCAACAAGCAGATCTCACATTACCATTGTTTTCAGCTCAGCCTAATACTAGAGGATGACTCATTGAGTATATTTTCTTGGAAAGTGATTGCAGAAGTCAATCTTTTGCTACTGTCCTGAGTGTGGATTCAGCATTTGCCAATATGCTTTAAGGTCAGAGAATTATTGCTCCTCCTGAAAGAGAAGCATGTGGTTACAGAACCAATACGTAAAGACATGTTATTTATAGAAAGAATTGGGATATTTTTGTAACTGTGGGAGTGGCAGGATGGTAATGAGAAATTGCCTATATTATTACACGTATACAATCATAGGATACGTTCTATGTATCAGTTTTGTCAGATATTGAAGGTGTTCCCTGTTACCAAGTTGGTACAAATATAGACAAATATGATAAGGCAGAAAAGACATTTCTCCTTTATCATATGGCCCAAATGTGGAACACAACGTCTACTATGAACTATTGTGGGACTTCCAGGAGCCAAGATGGCAGAGTAAGCAGTAAGTCACTCTTACCCTCCCTTACTGACCTTGAAAACCTCAGATACTACCACCCCAGGAAAAATTCTGGAATAGTGGAGCCAGCAGAAAGATGGGTTACAGCAGATTTTTTAGCTTGTGAGTCTAGGGGGATTAACAGGAAAGATCCTTCTTGTTGTGGCTGAAGGAGACCGGTACAGGAGAGGAGGTGTCTCAGCAAACTAGTGGGAGATCCTGAGCCTCAGGGAGGTGGAGCAGACTTCAGAAAAATCTGGAAGGACTTATATGAACTGATGCTGAGTGAAGTGAGCAGAACCAGGAAAACATTATACACAGTAACAGCCACATTGTGTGATGACTAACTTTGAGAGACTTAGTTCTTCTCAGCAATATAAGGATCTAAGACAACTCCAAAAATCTCATGATGGAAAATGCTATCCACATCCAGAAAAGGAACTATGGAGTCTGAATGCAGATCAAAGCAGACTATTTGCTCTCTCTCTCTGTCTTTTTTTGTTTTGCTTTGTGTCTCTTCTTTCTCTTGGTTCCTCCCATTCATTCTAATTATTCTTTACAACATGACAATTTGAAAATATGTTTAATAAGAATATCAGATTGCATCCCATCTTGGGGCGAGGGGAGGGAAGAGAGAGGGGGAAAATTTAAAACTCTGAATCTTATCTAAGAGAATGTTAAAAACTAAAATTGAGTAATTTAATTGAAAAATTAAAAAATAATAATTTTTGCACTTTTATTTTTACATATAACTGGGAAAAAAGTACTAAATAAAACATGAGAAGGAAAAAAAAAAGAGTTGTTGCACTTTAGTAAAACACCATATTAAACCAAATAAGCTGGACTTCCCCTCAAATACTCCAAGCAAAGCGTACATAAAACTTTATCATAGTTTATAATGAGTGCCATTTGGGGTGTATACCTATATTTGTTTTCTGTTCAAAACTATTCATTTAAGAAAATGTTTTCTAGGGGCAGCTAGGTGGCACAGTGGATAGAGCACCAGCCCTGAAGTCAGGAGGATCTGAGTTCAAATCCGGCCTCAGACCCAACACTTGACACTTACTAGCTGTGTGACCTTGGGCAAGTTACTTAACCCCAATTGTCTAAAAGCCAAAAAAAAAAGAAAAAAAGAAAATGTTTTCTACTCAAGGATTGTCTATATCCAGAGCAACAGAGTAATTGCAGTACCATGTATTTTTATCATAAGCAAGTTTTCAGTTGCTCATTAAATATATAGGTAAGTAATGATCATTCCTGATTGGCCTGAGATATGAGAAAAGGGAGCAATAGTTTAATGTCAAGGTAGTGAGAAGCCAAGCCTAGACTAGAAAGGAAAATCAAGAATCTTCAAATAAGTCTAAAGAAAATGACAGAAGCTTTGTGGTTAAATAACAAGGTGTCCATCCATTAATTCGATCAATAAAAATTTTTTATGTGCCTACTATGTGCCAGGCACTCTGCGAAGGGCTAGGGATAGGAAAAAAAAAGGCATGAGGCAGAGCCACGATGGCAAAGTAAAAGCAGGTACTTGCCTGAGTTCTCCCAAATTTCCCTCCAAATGACTTTAAGATAATGCCTCAAAATGAATTCTGGAGTGTTAGAATCAACAAAAGGATGCAATGAAACAATTTTTGAGCCCAAGACAATTTGAAAGGTCATTGGTGATGGTCTGTCTCACTGGGGTGACAGTGGGGCTCAGTCCAACACAGGCCCTGCCTGGCAAGCCAGCAAGAGTCCTTGGAGGCAGCGTCCAGAGTTCTCAGCCCACAGATGGTAAGAGGGTCAGAAATCTGATCAGAAGAAAAGGGAAATTGTGATAGCACTAGGTTCTAGACTCTGTCACAGTGTCCATACAGAGTTCCAGTTGCAGTCCCACAGCAAAGAGAGGGACTAGAACACTAGAGCATGTGACCACAGAAGAACAGGGACCATGGTCACAGTTTTATGGAAGAAAAGAATGTTTGTAGTTGTTCATAGACTAGAGCACAGGCTAGGAGAGTGGTGACCACACTTCTCCTGAGATCATACCAACTTGGAAGAACTTAAAACTTGGAGACCCCCATAACTTTCCCTGAAAACAGCAGCATAAAAACCCTGAAATTTTGGACAGTACCCTCTCCACTCTGAGAGTACAGACCAACTTTAACAAAAGTTAAAGGTCAAAAAATAGGCTAGAAAAAAATGAGCAAACAACAACAACAATAACAAAAAATAACCTGACTATAGAAAGTTACTATGTTAAAAAGGAAAATCAACAAATTCAGAAAACAACAGAGTCAAAATAGCTACATCCAGAACCTCAAAGAAAGATGTGAATTGGTTTTAGGCCCCAAAACAATTCCTAGAAAAGTTCAAAAATTATTTTAAAGATTGAATAAAAAAGATAGAGGGAAAATTTGGAAAAGAAATGACAGCAATGCAAGAAAATAATGAAAAAAAAAGAATCAACAGCTCGGTAAAGGAGGCCCCAAAAATACTGAAGAAAATAACAACTTAAACAATAAAATAGGGCAAATGACAGAAGAGGAACAAAAATCCTATAATGAGAATAACTCCTTAAAAAAATTGATCAAATGGCAAAAGATGTACAAAAATTCAATGGAGAAAAGAGTGATTTAAAAAGTGGAATTGGCCACATGTAAAAGGAGGTACAAAATTTCACTGAAGAAAAGAACAATTTAAAAAGCAGAATTGGCCAAGTGGGAAAGGAAGTAAAAGAGCTCACTGAAGAAAATAATTCTGTCCTACAAGGAAGCAAGGATAAGATGGACAGCTTTAATACAACGTGCAGTTTTCCTGATTCCAAGCCCGTCACTCTATCCAATGTACCATCTAGCTGCACTTGACAAAAACTTCTTGGAAAATTGGAAAGTAGTCTGGCAGAAATTAGAATTTCAAAGGAATCAATGAAAAACAGTATGACACATGGCCTAGCAATACCAGACATCAACTTATACTGCAAAGGTATAATTATTGAAACAATTTGGTTGTTTACTTGTTCTTCAATCATTTTTCAGTCATGTCTGATTCTTTGTGACCTGATCTGAGGTTTTCTTGGAAAAGATACTGAAATGATTTGCCATTTTCTTCTCCAAATTATTTTACATATAAGGAAACTGAGGCAAACAGAGTTAAGTAACTTGCTCATGCAGCTATTGTCTGAGGCCAAATTTGAACTTGCGTATTTACGACTCTAGGACAGGCACTCTATCCACTGCACCACCTTTGGCATTGCATAATAAATTAAAAATTAGAGATATGGTTAATGATGAAAGGAACACAATATATACATAATACCCAGAAGCAAATGTGAACAATAGCATAGTATTTGATAAGCCCAAATGTCCCAGCTATTAGGGCAAGAACAAACTATTTGACAAAAACTCCTTGGAAAACTAGAAAGTAGTCTGGTAGAAATTAGGCATAGACCAACATCTCATACCTTTACCAAGATAAACTAGAAATTGGTACATGATATAAACTCAAAAAGCAATAGAATAAGCAAATTAATGGAGTGTAAAAGCAATTACCTTTAAATCTATGCATAGGGAAAGAGTTTATGATGAAACAATAGAGGGATGGATGTTCACAAGTGGTAAAATGGATAATTTTGATTACATAAAATTGAAAAGTTTTGCACACAAATAAAACAAATGCAAGTAAAATTAGAATTAAAGCAAGAAACAGGAAATCTTTGCAAGTTTCTCTGACAGAGGTAGACATATAGAGAACTGAGCCAAATTTACAAGAAAAAGAACCATTCTCCAATTGATAAATGGTCAAAAGATATGTCTGGGAAGCTTTCAGAGAAAGAAATACAAGTTATCAATAGACATATGAAGAAATACTATAAACCACTAATAATTAGAAAAAACCAAATTAAAACAACTTTGAGGTCCCACCTTATGCACTTTGTTTTGGATAAAGTGACAGAAAGTGGAAAATGACAAATGTGAGAGATGGTGTGTGAAAGCAGATAAACTAATACAGTGCCGATAGAGGTGTGAACTAGTCCACTCATTCTGGAAAGCAATGTGGAACCATGACCAAAAAGCAATTAAACTGTGCAAACCTCTTGACCCAGAAATATGGCTATTAGGTCTATACCTCAACGTTATCAAAGGAAAAAGGAAAATGAACCTTCCATAAAATACATGCATACATACATACATACGTACACATGTATCTTTTAGTGGTGGTGAAGAATTGGAAACAGATGGGATGTCCAAGAATTGGGGAATGGCTAAATAAATTGTGATATATGGATGTGATGGAATTCTATTGTAATATAAAAATGATGAAGGGGATGATTTCAAGAAAACATAGGAAGACATATGAACTGAAGCAAAGTGAAATAAGCAGAACCAAGAGAACATTTTTACAGTAACAGCAATATAATGATAATCAGCTTTGAAAGACTTAATAACTGATTAACACAATGACCAATCATGTTCCAAAGGGATCATGATAATGCATGCTATCTACCCCCAGAAAAAAAAAAACTAATGGATTCAGTGAAGAATTAAAACATATTTTCTTTTCTTTCTTTCTTATTTTTTTTTCTTTTTTGAACACGGCTAATGATGGAGTTTACTTTTCCTGACTCTGCTTAAGGAACAGATACAAAGGTGGTAAACCTTCTGGTCACCCACAGTGAGAGCCCATGTTGGAAAAGCCAGCATTTTCTCGTCTTAATTGGGGAGGGAAACAGGTGGCTCAGCCCTAGACAAGTGTAAGCCGTATAAGAAGGGATCTCATTACCAACAAATTGTTCATCTCAATACTCACACAACAGCATTGCAGAAGGCACATTTGTTTGCATAAGTACAGTTATCAGATCCACAGTGGGGCATATATTCCACAGTACAGGCAGTTTGTTCTTCTTTTGGGCACACAATCTACATGTCCCTCCCCCAAAAAAAGTATTTATTAGAGATTCACTAAAATTGGAAGGGACATCAAAAGATATCAGAGATCAACACTCCCACCAAACAAATCAACTTTATAAGATCCTGAATATGTGGTCATTCCCAATCGGCTTAAACACTCTAGTGACAGCAAGCTAACAATACCTCAAGGCATCCAGCTCCATTACTGGACAGTTTTAATTATTAGGTCTCTCCTTGTATTGAGCCAGAAACTGATTACTGTAACTTCTATGTATTGCTCTTCATTTTGCCCTCTGTGATCATCTAGAGAAAGTATCAGCATGAGCATAGCCACCACCACCACCTCCACCACCATCATCATTAAACTAATATTTATATAGTTCTTACTATTATGGGGCACTGTGCCAACCACTTCATATATATTACTTCATTTGATTCTCACAACAACCCTGACAGGTAGGTACTATTATTATCCCCATTTTAAAGATTAAGAAACTGAGGTAAACACAGATCAAGTGACTTCTCTAGGGTCACACAGTTAATAAAGGTCCAAGGCCATATTTGGACTCAGGTCTTCCTGACTTCAGGCACAGCACCCTACTCACTATGCTACCTCATTGTAATAATAATAACAACAATAACAAGTATTTTGTAGAATTTTAAGGTTTTCAAAGTGCATTATCATTTTATCCTTATAGAAGCACTGAGAGACAGATCCTGTTAGTATCCTTATTTTTAATTAATTAATTAATTTTTAGTTTTCGACATTCACTTCCACAAGATTTTGAATTCCAAATTTTCTCCCCATCTCTCCCCTCCCCCAAGCCCAAGATGGCATACATTCTGAATACCCCTTTTCCCAATGTGCTCTCCCTTCTATCATGCCCCTCCTTCTCTTATCCCCTTCCCCTTCTATTTTCCTGTAGGGGAGAATAGATTTTCTATACCCCATTGCCTGTATCTTATTTCCCAATTGCATGTAGAAATAATTTTTAACATTTGTTTTTAAAACTTTGGGTTTCAAATTCTCTACCTTCCTCCCTCCCCACCCACCCTCATTGAGAAGGCAAGCAACTTGATATGGGTTATACATCTGTAGTCATAAAAAAAATGAAATAAAATAAAATAAAATACATGTGTAGTCATGCAAAACACTTCCATAATGGTCATGTGAAAAACTAACTATTTCCCTTCATCCTATCCCATTCCCCATTTATTCTATTCTCTCCTTTCACCCTGGCCCTCCTGAAAAGAATTTCATTTTGATTACTCCCTCCACCAATATGTCCTCCCCTCTATCATCCCCCCCTCTCTTATCCCCCTCCCCCCATTTTCCTGTAGTGTAAGATAGATTTTCATACCCAATTGAGTGTGTTTGTTATTCCCTCCTTTAACCATATCTGATGAGAGTAAGACTCACTCATTCTCTTTCACCTCCCCCCACTTCCCATCCACTTTAAAAGCTTTTTCTTGCCCTTTTCATGTGAGATAATTTACACCATTCTACCTCTCCCTTTCTCCTTCTCTCAGTATATTCCTCTTTCACTGCTTAATTTTCTTTTTTAGATATCATCCCATCATATTCAACTCACCTATGACCTGTCTACATATATGTGTGTGTGTATTTGTGTGTGTGTGTGTGTGTGTGTGTGTGTATATATACACACACACACACACATAGATACATATACATAAATGCATCACTCTTATTTCTCTTCCCACACCAGTACTCCTCCTATAGTCCTCACCCCAGGACTGCTACCCAGAACTGTGAACCAGATCCAAGCATGGGAAAAGCAAGAGCATCCTGCCTCAGCACCAGCAAATAAATCCCTGGCATCCCCTTCTGATCAGCTGCTCAAGCCCCCCCACTGTTTGTGGCCCAAGAGCTCTGAAAGCAGCTACCACACTGGGGCTGCACCAGGATTGGGACCAGACCATGTTCCTCTCCTTTTGAGGTACAACAGATGTTTCCTACTGACCTACTAAGTTGTCTTTGGAGTTTCTGAGTTAAGAAGTCTGGAGATCGCAACAGCTGCTAGTGATTTAGTCCCCTGAGGCCTGCTCTGGGTTCATGGAGACCCTTCTTTGCCTCACACTGAACTGAGCTCCTTTCCAAGCTTGGCACAAGAAACCTATGCAATCAACCATCCATGTTGTCTTGGGCTGGAAATTTGTTTCACTCTTTCTTTTTGTGGGTTCTGCTGCTCTAGAATTTGTTTAGAGCCATTTTTACAGGTATTTAGAGAGGTTTGGAGGAGAGCTCAAACAAGTCACTGCTTTTACTGCACCGTCTTGGTTCCACCCTGATTATTTTATAGATGAAGAAACTGAGGCAAACAGAGGTTAAGCCCAGAGTCACACTGCTAGTAAGTGTCTAAGATAGCATTTGAACTCAAGTCCTCCTGATGCTAAGTCCATTGCCTCTTTCTTCCATATGAAAGCTTTTTAAATGTAGGAAGACAATCTTAATATATCTAGTAAGTCCTCTCTTCTTCAGGCTAAACCAGTTCTTTCAGATGTCTCATGACATGATTTTGAGTTCTATTTTGACTGTATTGCAACTTACTGCATGATATAATCTTCTGCTAAATAAATTAGGCTGATTCTCAGGTGACAGACTACATTTATCACTGGTTCATACTCAATGTACTCTACTCTTTCCAGATTAGCACTACTTACAAAACTTTAAGTGGACCCATGTAGGTGCTGTCTTGAGGCACTGAAGAATAATAGCAATAACAACAGCAGCAACAGAAACTTCTTACATTCATAGAGTGTTTTAAGGATGAAAAAGTGCTTTTGTTTGCTATTTACTCCCAATATTATTTGGGCAAGTCACCTAACCTTTCTAGAGCTTAGCTTTCTCATTTCAATTCTAGGAGACTTTAAAAATAATTAAATTCACAAAAAAGATACATAAACAAATAAATGAAAGCACCTTGTGGATTATAGAATATAGTTATCATTCCTATTTTGCAGTTGAGGAAAATGAGACTCAGAAATTTCAGGTGAAGGGACTTCTCAAAGTTATCAATATCAAATAATTATCCGAGACAGAATTTGAATATGGGAAATTCTGATCAAGTACAACCAGGAATTTTTACTTTTCAGTTTTTTTTCTTTTCTTTTAAAATTCTACTTATTTTATTCTCCAGAAGTCTTTTTTACTCCATCATGCTGTTGCACATTCATGATGAGGAGCTGCATCAGCAAGCACACATTCTGTGAATTGGAAGGGACATTAGAGAAATAAGTCTGAATGCTTATGGAAGCATACTGGTTTTTTTACTTTTTGTGTTTTTTTTCTTTTTTTAATAAAAAAAACTATTTATTTTTAGATTTAACATTCACTTCCATAAGATTTTGAGTTCCAAATTTTCTCCCCATCACTCCCCTGTCCCCACCCCAAGACAGCTTGTAAATTGATATAGGCTCAACATATATATTCATTAAACCTATTTTTATATTAGTCATGTTGTAAAGAAGAATTAGAACCAATGGGAGAAAGCATGAGAAAGAAGAAACAAACAAAAAAAAAGAGGCAGCAAATAGTATGCTTCAATCTGCATTCAGACTCCATAGTTTTTTTTTTCTGGATGTGGACAGCATTTTTCATCATAAGTCTTTGGGAATTATCTTAGATCCTTGCATTGCTAAGAAGAAACAAATCTATCAAAGTTAGTCATCATGCAATGTGGCTGTTACTATGTACAATGTTCTCTTGGTTTTGCTCATTTCAATTAGCATCAGTTCATGTAAATCTTTCCAGTTTTTCTGAAATCTGCCTGCTAATTTCTTATAACACAATAGTATTCTATTACATTCATATACCACAGCTTGTTCAGCCATTCCCCATCTGATGGGCATCCATTCAGCTCAATTTCCATTTCTTTGCCACCACAAAAAAAGCTGCGGATCCTTTTCCCCATTTGTATGACCTCTTTGGGTTATGGACATAGAAATGGTATGGGTCAAAGGATATGCGCACTTTGATTGCCCTTTGGGAATAGTTCCAAATTGTTCTCCAGAATGGTTGGATCAGTTTACAACTCCACCAACAATGCATTAATCTTTCCATTTTCCCACATCTTCTCTAGCATTTATCATTTTCCTCTTTTGTCACATTAGCAAATCTTATAGGTATGATGTGGTACCTATCACATCAGAGTTGTACCTCATAGTTGTTTTGATTTGCATTTCTCTAATCACTAGTGATTTACAGCATTTTTTAATATGACTACAAATAGCTTTAATTCCTTCATCTGAAAACTGCCTGTTCATATTCTTTGACCATTTATAAATTGGGGAGTGACTTGTATTCTTATCAATTTCATTCAGTTCTCTTCATATTTTAGAAATGAGGTTTTTTATCAGAGACATGGGTTATAAAAATTCTTTCCCATTTTTCTGTTTCTGTCCTAATATTGGAAGCATTGGCTTTGTTTATGCAAAAGCTTTTCAATTTAATGTAATCAAAATTATTCATTTTGCATTTTGTAATATTCTCTATCTCTTGTTTGATCACAAATTATTCCATTCTCCATAGATTGGATAAGTAAACTATTCCGTGCTCTCCCAGTTTGCTTATAGTATCAGCCTCTATATCTAAGTCATGTACCCATTTTGACTTTATTTTGGTATACGTTATAAGATGTTGGTCTATGCCTGGTTTCCAGTTTTCCCAGCAATTTTTGTCAAATAGTGAGTTCTTATCTCAGAAGCTGGAGTCTTTGGGTTTATCAAACAGTAGATTACTATAGTCATTGATGACTGTGTCTTGTGTACCTAACCTATTTCATTGATCCACCTCTATATTTCTTAGCCAATACCAAGTAGTTTCAATAATTACCACTTCAGAATACAATTTAAGAGCTGGTATGGCTAGGCCACTTCATTTGCATATCTTTTCATTAGTTCTCTTGATATTCTGTACATTTTGTTCTTCCAGATACATTTTGTTATTTTTTTCTAGCTCTATAAAATAAGTTTTGGCAGTTTTGTGTCTTTTTTCTTTTACAACATGACTAATATGGAAATATATTTTGCATGACTGTACATACATAACCTATATCAAATTGCTTGCTGTCTCAGGGAGAAAGGGAGGGAAAAAAACCTTAAAACTCAATTTATTTTTTAAAAAAGTTTTTACATATAATTATGAAAAATAAATATTTAAAAATAAATGCATCTTTTTCTCCTTTTGTCCCCCTATTCCTTAAATTCCCCTTAAATTTTTGGTTGTTTAAGTCCTTTTTTCATCTTTTGTTAAACACTTTATATTTCTTTTCCCCTCTGAACAATTTCCTTACTTTTTTCAAGAGCTTATGTACACAAGATGATTACTTTTATTGTTGTTTTCTTTTTTTTACAAGTAGAATTTTCAATTTATCTACAAGTACAAACCCAAGTTTGGTTGGTTTTTACTGGTAAGCAAGTGCTTTTCTGGATCCTCCCTCTTCTGTATATCTTTCTTTCTTGTGACTTCTCAGAGATCTTCCCTTGTATTTCTCAGGAAACTTTACATTCTGGTTGGTATCACAACTTAGGCAAGCCCTATGTACTTCCCCTAGTGGATAGTAAACTCTTCAAGGATAAGGATCATCTTAACCATTTCTGTATACCATCAATCCCTAACAATTTATCTACCAAATATCACAGACTATAAAACAGACCTGTAAGAAGGGCAAGCAGGTTGCATTAGGCGCTTGCTGTAGTGAAGAAAGGTAAATCATTAAACTTTCACAGTGTGGAGATAGAACGCTAGATACCCATCTCTACATTTTTTTCTAACTCCAAATGGCTATACTAGAAGAAAAAAAAAGAGCAACTTTTTTTTTTCTGATTTACTAGAAGCATCTCAGTCTTCCCAATTTGCTAAACTATTAAATAATGATCATTCTGAATCTGAAGTAAGACTTCACATAAGGAAAAGTGAGCTTAGCAGAATGACATTGAAACTACCAGCTAAAAGAAAACTCTCATCAACTTCCTAAATTACCATTGTCATGGTGTGTTGTATCTGATGACAAAAGATACATGCCTTAAAATATTAACTACCACTGTTCAATTTCAGGCAACGGAGTTTCAGTTTTTATTGAAATTCTTCCATACTGTAAAATGTCTTCTTCATGTTGTTGTAGGAGCGAGACTCACAAGTCTACAGTAGTGCCAAAGGTTAGTGTAATGTTAAACCAGTTGGGTTTGTCATTTTAGTTGTCCCAAGTATAAAATGCTGAATGGACCAACGTACAGTGCTGCAGTAGCCTGGGAGAGAAGCAGGGACAGCTGTGGCAGCAGCTGCAAGGTCAGCGCCATCTTGGTCTGTGTGCCATCCTGAAGCTCCCTCAGTATTTTCTTAATAATTGTACTTATCTAGCTTTCTTTTGTCCTTCTCTGTAATTATCACAAATCAAATATTCTGCTCACCTCAGTTTTTTTTTTCTTCTTCAAGAATAGTTTAAATGCCTCACTTTTGTCAAAAGTATAGCATTTTGGGATTTATGTTCAGGCTCAGTGTTGCAGAATGTTATTTTAGGTTGCATCATATGTTTCTTTGCCTTTAAGAATAAGTTATTTCTTCATAGCTGAAGGACTTTGTTCTGGACTTTTTGTAAAGTGTATCTGTTTTTGGAAAGAAAGCCTCTACAAGGCTTAGAATTTTAAGAGTGAGGTTTTATCTTGGTAGCAATTCATATATTTGATGAATTGGTATTTTTCTGTTTCTATGCAAAATATTTAGATACTTTGTTTACAGTATTTCCTGCTATATTATATGCAGGTTTTTGTTTGGTTGGTTAGCTGGGTTTTGATTTGGCTTGGCTTTAGGCATCCTGTTTTTCTGGGGAGGCTATTATGTGCACTCTGTCAAGTTCAGCTGCTTTGGTTTGTGATTTGTACTTCTAATGTTCAGATTTTTGTTTATTTCTCATCTCAGATTTTTTTTCCATTTCTGCATTTTTGTGTTATAAATCTGCCATTTTCTCTTTCCAAATCATCGCTACTTTGAAGAGATTCTCCACTGTGTATTCCCTGTACAAAGTAAATTTATACAGGAGAGAACTGACTTTAATTAGCCAGATCTTTTTATGTACAGCCAGAAGTCCTTTCCCCTTTTCTCAACTCCAGGATATTCTCCATGCTGCCCACATTTTTTATCCCCTAAACCTCTTACATATTTCTCTTTTCTTCATGTGGCTTGGCAGAACCAGAGTGTGCTACATCTTATTGCTGATTGATGAGCAGGAGGGAAAGAGGTGAGGGGAGTGGAGGGCCAAGGGATGGATTTCAGGCTGTGTCATTTCTATGAGGGGAACAGTCAGGAAACTCACCCCTAACTGAACCCTGTAGGTTTAAGGGTGGGATTATATTTGGTGAGATTATTTGCACAGAGTTCACCATCTTGTGACCTGTGTGGGCAACCCTGAATGAGAGCTCAAAGTACTTAAGCTCTCCAATGTTATTGAATGAAGTTTTTACATTTACATTATTTCTGTCTTCTTGTGTCATTGGTTCAGCTTTAGTTTCTTTATGCATGGCATAATTCCTTTTGCAGATGTTTTTGAGTTAGAGAAGTTTCTGGTAATCAACTATTGGCCAATCATGCTTCTCCATACTGTACTTGGGAAGCTGAAGGCAAGTACACAATTTTGCATTTATCCCTATTAAATTTGCCCTTCTTAGGTTTGCCTCATCCAGCCTATTGAACTATTTGAAGATTGTGACTCTATTAGTTATTGTGGTGGTGTATTTCCATTATATCACACTGCTTCTTACAGTTGTATTGAAAGTGAAAGTAACTAAGTTAAGAATGAGTAGGTTGTTTCAGGTTCTCAGAAATGTCTCAGCATTTTTCTGTTTTGTTTTGTTTTGTTTTTTCTTAGTTCTGGATGGCGGAGACTGCAGTTAATGACCTTCAGGAAAGAAACAAATCAACCATGACTAGATTAATTCCCAAAACTAATACATGTACTTACACATTCCCCATTATGCAGTTTCTTAATATTCAGCTCTTTTTCTCTGTAAGAGAGGAAGTTCAGGATCAGTAAACCTCATAAGAGGGCAAGTCCTAATGCAATTGACTCTATTTTATCCCACAGATCTGAGAAATGGGGTATTTGGGCACATAAAATATCCTGTCTGATCATTAAAAATGGAAGACACCTTAGATATCACCTAGTTTCTTGTTTTTAAGTAATGGTCCCAAGGACATCCATAATATTAGTCGTCCGAATCATTTGATTCCCTGAACAGTATTTTTTCTACTGCTTTGATTGATAACTTTAAGGAGGCAGATATCATCCTCATATGAGGAAAAACTTCATACAAACTGGAGTGGCTGGGGCAGCTAGGTGGCAGAGTGGATAGAACACCAGCCTTGGAGTCAGGAGGGCCTGAGTTCAAATCCTGTCTCAGAAATGTAACACTAGCTGTGTGATTCTGGGCAAGTCACTTAACCTCAATTGCCAGAGAGAAAGAAAGAAAGAAAGAAAGAAAGGAAGGAAGGAAGGAAGGAAGGAAGGAAGGAAGGAAGGAAGAAGAAAAAAGAAAAACTCGAGTGGCAGAACAATGGAATAAGGTGCTTCATAAGGCAGTGAACTCCCTGTCACTGGAATTGCCCAAAGAAAGATTGGAAGACAAGTTTGCAAGGGGTGTCTTAAAGGGGTTTCTAACTCTAGGTAAACATTGGACTAACTGCATTCTAGGGCCTTTTGCCATTATGAGTAACAGTGTGAAAAAGTATTTGAACTCAGGTCTTCTTGACTCCATATCCAGGACACTATCCACTGCACCTCTTATATGCCTAATGTAAGTTCTTTGAGGGCAGCGACTATATGCGTTTTTTCTTTGTATCCCCAATGATTAACAAAATGACTGGCAAATAGCAAGTACATAATAAATGCTTATTATTGGCTTTAGAATAGGAAGTAGCTCCCTTGAGGATATAAACTGGGTGAGCCTGAGCTAGCTATTTTAATGTGGTACTCACGCATTAGTGGCACAGAGTGAACATTCATTCACATAAGTTTTCTTATCAGTAGCACATATTGGTTTGAAGGCATCAGGGCATATTATACCCTTGCTGGTGCTGGGGTATGCAGAGCAATCAACCTGCAGGTAAAAGACAGAATAGAGATGGTCCTCTAGTTCCATTGTATAATGGAACTTACAAACTTATTTTTCCAACTCTTATGCTAATGTACAGTGTCCCTGTTAAATCACTGATCATTTTTTGGATGTAGGACTAGTCACTCTCCTTCCCTCCCTCCCATTAGAATTGTAGTAATCACAGTTCTAAATCTGGAGTCAGGAAGATCTAGGTTCAGCTACTGCCTCTGAGACTTACTAGCCAAGTGTTCAATAGCAAGTCACAACTTCTTTGACTCTCACACTGAACATAGAAAAGAAGGAGGTTGTAATAGAAAGCTCCAAGGTTCCTTTCAGCTTTATATTCATTGTCTCTGTCTGTCTCTCTCTGTCTCTGTCTGTCTCTCTCTCTCTGTCTCTCTGTCTTCATCTCTCTGTCTCTGTCTCCTTCTGTCTCTCTCTGTCTCTCTGTCTCTCTCCCTGAATTCCTTAGTCTTTAAAAAATACTACAGTATATCAGGGCTGGACATAGGATGTGAGAGCTGAGGAGAGATGCTAAGAGACCATCTGGTACAATTCTTTCCTTTCACAGATGAGGACTGTGATTATGCTGTAGTCACCATAAAATACCAACATTTCAACCAAGCACAGAATAATGTACTCACTCTTTGCCCTTTTGCATCATCTCCCAAGGACAAGGGAAAAAAAAGTGATTACAAAGAATTAGAAGTTGAACAGATAGAATTTAACAACTGGAATGCATTACTAATCTTATGAAATCCTAAAATGTAGCAACTAAGGTGTCTCTTTCCTTCCTAACCATTCCTGGGCAAGGTTAGGGTCAGAAATGATGGGAAAAGGCACAGTTGTTTCAGTCAGAGGAAAGCTGGCAGTTGCACTATTAGTGAAAGAGACTCCTAGGTTGTTTTAGCATGCCTGTTCAAAAAAAAAATTTCTAAGATCCGTTTCATATCAAGACTAGAAACCCTGCCCAGAATGAACCATTAAACTTAAGCCCTGCCCACCTTATGATATCATTGCTCCCATAAACAATAAGCAAACCCCCATGACATCATTGACCCTTCCTCAAGATTTGCCCACCCTGTGCCATCCCACATCCTGACCCTCAAGATGCCCATGTAAGTCATTCATCCAATTATACCTACTAATGATAACATCTTCATGTTACCATTGTGACCCTGAAGCCAACTTAACATGTCTTCTCAGTTGCCCTATTTTCCAGTACACTGGACCCAGAGTATGCAGGAGACCTAGAACAAGTCAAGAATGAAGCTGCCTCTGAGCCGACAGAGCTACTTTGCTACTTTCAACCCTTAATGAACTCTGTGACCCTTGAGGGTCAAACCAGCTATAAGACAGGCATTAGTCAGTCTGTATCAGACTGATAAACAATTTGTGCAGCTGGGACCCTTTTGGATGAGCAGACCATCCTATCTTCATGGTCTAGCAGTTCCCAAGGAAGAGGGAAAAAGGGGCTGGTGCTGCTCCTACCCTTCTACTCTCTCTTGCTCCCCCTCTCTTTGTCTCCACTTTTTCCATATCTAGGAGAGGGAGCTTGTCCTTTCTCCTTCTATATGACTTCTCCTTTTTGCTGTAACTCTTAAATACCCAAATCTCTGCCTGCATTGCCAGGCTCCTTTGTATTCAGTATAAGGAGCTCTGACATGCACGTCCTTTTGCTTTCTCTTGTAATTAAATAAGTTGCTACTCATGTCTTTTGGAGTCATGACTATTGGTTGACACTATGCTTTCCCCATATTCACTATAGTCTGTTGTCTCCACTAGGCTCTTCATGCCCAATGGCACGAAAGAGAAGACTCTACTATACCATATAAAATAGTATAACTAGAAAGGGACTAAACACACCACCACCCCCTCTTCTGACTTATGTTACATATGAAGAAATGGGAACCCAGAGAGGTTATGAAATATGTAAGATATGAACTTAGGGCTTCTGATGCTCAATCCAGTTTTCTTTCCATTTTGCCATGCTGGTTTGAGAGTTGACTTTAGACCAATAAAATGGAATGTCAAAGGTTTGATTCAGGTGGAAATGATCACTTTAAAACTAAGTATGAAATCTGGAAAGACTTGTATGAACCGAGGCAAAGTGAAGTGAGTAGAACCAGGACTATGTTGTACACATTAAGAGAAGTATTGTACAATGAAGAACTGTGAATGACTTAACTATTCTGAGCAATAAAATGATCCAAGACAATCCTAAAGTATGAAACATGCTATCCACCAGCAGAGAAAGAATTAATATCTGAATACAAACTGAAGCATACTATTTTTTTCATTTTTATTCCTTCCCTCCTTCCTTCCTTCTTTCTTTTTTTCTTTGACTTTTTGTGCAAAATTACTAATGTGGAAATGTTTTACGTGATCACATATGAATAAACCATATAAAATTGCTTACCATCTCAGGAGGGGGAGAGGAGAGGGAGGAAAGGAGAGACAGAATTTGGAACTCAAAACTTTAAAAGAAATGTTAAAAAATGTTTTAACATGTAACTGGGGAAAAATAAAATATTAAAAATTAAATTAAATTAAATATGAACCAGTGAAAATAGCATCTTTTAGTACCAATCATCTGGCTATGAGTGATTTGCCTAAATTTCCTATGCACAACACGTTCAATTTTCTATTCCACCTTTACTGTTGACCTCTAGGAATTCTGGTTTCATACTGTACCATTTTGACAACATGACACAGAAATTGCATTGCATCTAGCTTGTCATCCTTCTGTCTGTGTGAGAGCTGGGGAAGCCTCTCATGTATATCCCTATCAGAGCTGTACAACATCACTCAAGGTGATATGTCTGTGGATCTCATCTAGGAGACATTGTATATATGAAGTGACATTCTCAAAAATCTGAATGAAGTATTTTATGCTACTTACATTGATATACGAAAATTTGCATGGAGTTCTATAACCTAGAAATACATTATAGACTTTTCTCACTCCTTTTTGAGAGTCAGCATGATAATATGGATTGCAGAGCTGACCTTGGAGCCAGGAATAACTGAGTTCCAATCCTGCCTCTCACATGTCTTGGCTGCATGACCCTGGGCAAATCAGTTAACCTTTCAGTGCTCTAGGCTCTATGTCTATGAGTTTCAGAGAAGTGATTTCTCACTTATAAGTTCTCTACACCAATGACATTACAGGTATCGTCTGGTCCTTATCCCCACTCCTCATTCTTGCAAGAAAGATTTTACATTCTGGCCTTTACCAGGGATTAGAGAAGCCTTAGTGCAAAAACCTTGCTATCTGGACCCTTGTGTCCCTGCATCCCTTGGAATGTTTTCTCATCTCAGAGGACTGGAATAGGGTCTCAGATCATTAGAGTTTCCAGGACCCAATAGTGAAGTTTTGTGATAATGAAGTAGTCCTTGGCTCTGATGGTCTATGAAGAAGCACCCTTACTTCCAGGAAAGGAGGAGGTGTTTGTAGGGAATCAATAATTAGACTGGAACCATGAAACATGACCTCTATTAGCTGCCTTCTCTATCCCCCGAACACCATCTTGCTTAGTATTAATTAGCAAGACCAGAGCATGACCAATGTCAATGCTCACATTAAAGACCTTGATTAATTCATGGTGATCAAAAATGAATATATAATCTATTCCAGAGATTCAGGCACTTTTCAGGTGCTTAATTATAGTCAGTGAGTGTCCAAAGGATTGGGACCAAGAATTTATAATTGATATGTTGTAAATCCTCTGCAAAGCTATGATTACTTTGTTCTGTAAACTACTCCCCCACACTCTTGTAGCCCTTTGTGACATCCTTACAACTGAAGTTAATTAATGGGGATAACAGAGTGATTATTCTGAAACTCATTCACAGTGACAGCCAACTCATAGTGGTCAATGATTTATTCTGTAGAGTTTACCCCTTCACGTGTAAACAATCTTGTCTGGAGAGTATGGAGTTTATGAACAAAAGTGTTGTAGATATGTTTCCAGGGTTACTGTTAAGCACTTAATAATAGGGGAGTTACAGAATTTTTTATGATGCTACGGTCAATCTTTCCTATTAATTGTTTATGTCCATTTATGCCATGATAATCCTGGTCAAGGAACTGTCATTTTGATACATGTTGGAAAATCTTTAACTTGGAACCTCTTATATTTCTTTAGCCTCAGTAAAGTTTGGGAGAGGATTGTTCCCTGTGGCTGTGTTTGGTGTGAAGGGGTGTATTCCCCAAGATTTGATTACATGTGAAATAGCTTTTGTGAAAGGCAGTTAAAACATAGATCTAGATTTTTTTTTACCAACACATGCACAAACCAGAAGTCTCTGAAGACCAAGTGAACGTCACATTGTCCACACTTAGTTTTTAAAGTCATCATTCATATCCAAATCAAGCCTATCATTCTCCATTCTCCTGGCCAACAGACAGTACATTCCCAAACCAGCATAGCATAGTGAAAAGAACAATGGATTTGGAGTCAGAGGACCCAAGTTTGAATTTTGATATTTCTATTTATTAGCTGTGTAACTTAAGTAAGTCACTTATCATCTCTGGGCCTCACTTTCCTCATTTACAAAATTAGGGCTTGGACTATATCTCTGAAGTGTCTTTCAGTTCTCCTAACATAAAGCTTGCAATGACAACAACAACAACAACTACAATAATAATAATAATAATAATAATAATAATAATAATAATAATAATAATAATAACCACAATGCAGCTTACTTGCAGCCAAGTGGTACTGTGGATAGAGTGCTGGGTCTAAAGTCAGGAAGACTAATCTTCATGAGTTCAAACGTGGCTCCAAATACTTAGTAGCTGTGTGACCCTGGGCAAGTCATTTAACTCTGTTTGCCTCAATTTCCTCATCTGTAAAATGAGCTGGAGAAGGAAATGGCAAACGATTCTAGCTCTGCCAAGAAAATTCCAAATGGGATCACAAAAGGTCAGACACAGCTAAAATGACTGAACAACAACAACAACAACAAAGCTTACTTGCATTTGGTCTGTCTTCCATTCCTGAGCTTTGGTAAAGTCTGTGCAAATTGAATTTTACCAGATCTGCAGTATCAGTGGTTCAAATGCCATTCCTTCAGCTTCAGTCTCCTTCAAAAGACAGAAGAGGGGGCAAGAAGAGAACACAGATTGGGACTTAAGTTGAAGGTATGTTTTGTGAGTATTGATCTATGTTGAGGGAAGAAATGGATTTTTTCCAAAGTTCTCTCAAAGAGATGGAGGCTATAGGTTTGTTCTTGGGAGGTTCCTGGTATTGTAGACTCACAATATTTTCCTTAGGTATGGAATATTTCTATTTCCTGGCATTGGGGAATAAGGGAAATAAAAGCAGTGAGGAAGAAAAACAGGACTCAAGGCATTTCTCAGAAATCTGGCCAGGGAAATTTGACTTGATGATGCCATATGGTGGAAATCCAGTCCAGACATAAATCTTCCTTATGATGGTAAGGTCTAATCATGGAAAGATGCTTAGTAGAAAGCCATAAAATCAGCATCATAAAGGTGAAGCCAAAGCACTGCCCTTCCAGCCGTTGGATGTCTTCATAGAGGTAAAAAAGATAAAAATCAAGAATGACAACCCAGGCTTCAGGGCTTAAATATTGTTCATTTAATTTTTGAACATATTGGAACAATGGTGGAAATCTGTAAAACTAGGTACCCCCTTCCAAACTTGCTTTATAATCATAGGATAGAGGGGGGAAACTGGGAAACTGACCCAACTTTCAAAGTGTGGAGTGAACCAATTAGAAAAAGACTAAGAATCTCCTTGTGATATAGTAGTGTTATCAGTGAAGTAATGTTATCATTGAAAATAAGATAAAGAATCTCAGAGCTGGGAAGTGACGTTGGAACATAGATTTCAATTTCTATCAACATAGATTGTGCATGTGTATTTAAGATGCCAAAGGCAGGTGTGATTGAGGAAGAGTACAAAAGCATGATTCAACACTTTAATAGCATCACTTATGATCCCAAAGCTCAGAATGACATAATGTAGACAAAGAAACCTAAGGATAACAAAATAAGATTTTGAAAACTGCATGAAAAAAATTGGAGGATTAAAAAAGGCACAATGCTTAGGTAGGTAGGTAGATTATGTACATTAGGTAGATAATATTTAGGGTAGATAGGCTAATAAGAATTGACAAAAGAGAAGATAAAGTAACCTAACTCCTACTTTTATGCCAAAGAAAATGATCTTTGGATTATAAGGCCAGAATAAAATTTGTTAATTAGGAGTTCATACAGAGAATAAGTAGAGCTAGCAAAGTTAACGAAAAGCTATTTAACATTTAGTATATGGCAGGCACTGTAACAATCGATGGTGCTACAAAACAAAGACAATAATAATGGGATCTGTTCTCAAGGGGAACTGGAGAAGACAACATATAAATCACTGTGTACACCAAAAATGTATACAATGTAAATCTGTGAAGAAAGGGACTTGAGTGGTAGGGAATGAAAGACTTCCAGGAGAATGTGAGATTTGAGCTGAGACTTAAAGGAAGCAAGGAAGCCAGAGTTGAGGAAAAGGTACCAGGCATGGGGGACACCAAGTGTAGCAGCATAGAGTTGAGACATGAAGGTTCATGTTTATAGAACATGAAATAGGCCAATGTGGATGGATTGTGGAGCTCATAGAAGGGAGGAAAGTATAAGATTTGGAAGGCAGGGAGGTACCAGATGAAAAAACAAAGGATTTGATATTGGATCCTGGAGTTATAGGGAGCCACATAAGCTTATTGAATTTGAAAGTGGGAAGGGGCGATTTGTCAGATCTGCACTTAGGAAAATTCCTTTGTCATTTGAGTGGAAGGTAGACTGGATTTAATAGAGAGTGGAAATAGGGAGTCCAGCCAGCAGGTAAGAGTCCAGATGGGCAATGATGAAGGCCTAAAGTTAGGTAGCCACTGTGGGAATGCAAAGGGTAAATGTGAGTGATATTGTGGAGGCAGAATCAACAAGACTTGGAAGTTAATTAGAAATGTGGATCATGTGTGAGTGATGAGTTAAGGCTGACACTGAGGTGGTGAACATATAAGACTGGGGAGACGGTGGTGCCCTCAGGAATAGGAAAGTTGGGAAGAGTGAAGGGTTTGAAGAAAAATATAATGAATTTCATTTTAGACATGCTGAGTTTAAGATCCATTTAAGACATTTAGTTTGAATTGCCCGAAAGGTAAGTGATGCATGTGTAGAATGAGAGAGAGAGAGAGAGAGAGAAAGAGAGAGAGAGAGAGAGAGAGAGAGAGAGAGAGAGAGAGAGAGAGAGAGAGGAGAGAGAGAGAGGGAGGGAGGGAGGGAGGGAGGGAGGGAGGGAGAGAATTAGGGCTGGATCTAAAAATCTGTGAATCATCTGCTTAGAAATGATCATTTAGGGTCAGCGAGGTGGCTCAGCTGATAAAGCACCGGCCCTGGATTTAGGAGGACCTGAATTCAAATCCGGCCTCAGACGCATAACACTTACTAGCTGTGTGACCCTGGGCAAGTCACTTAACCCCCATTGCCCAACCAAAAAAAAAAAGAAGTGATCATTTAACTCATAGGGGCTAATGAGGTCACTAAAGGAGATATGTAGAGGGAAAAGAGAAGAAAGGAGGAACATCTATAATGGATATGAATGAAAGTACAGATAGTTTTGGCAAGGGTATTTAGTGTTAATATCATTAGGACAAAACCAAATGTAAAGTCTCGGTGAGTGCCAGGAGATGGAAGAAGCAATAAAGGAAAAGATAAAAGATGAAACAAAGTTTATTAGTTATGGAGCAGGTATTCCATAAATTCTATTATAAGAGACAGTTAGATCTGGAGTGGAGAATTAGAATGATAAGGATGGAAAGAATGAGAGTGAGGGGTTAGGCAGTTAGGGATGGGATCAGAGTATACACCAAAAGAATTTCTGGTATTGGAAGAGTATAAGAGGATGAGAGTGTGTTAATCATTGAGCAATGAGTCCAGGTAAAGTGTTAGCTGTTGGAGAGAGATTTGCTGAGGGGGCAGATGATTATCAGACCATTCAAGGCCATCCTTTGAGTTAGGTGGTGATGTTCTGTCTTATCACACTGCCTCACAGGGACAAGCAACGAGCAACTTATCAAGAGGCAGGATGTGCTAGTGAGATGCAGTCATCTTGTGAAGTAGGAGAATGTGCAGAAAAATACTGCTAAATCTTTAATAATTGGCATCCTGGAGAAATCACCATATATTTGTAACTTTAATCTGCATTATTAACATTTTCTCCATCACTTTCTAAACTCTAGAAATCAACAAAAACAAAAAAAAAATCAAGCCCTGACCTACATCTTTACAAATTTCCAAGGTGTAAATGCTCACACTAGCTGGTTAGAACTTGTTTTAGCATGTCCCTGATGAGATGTGTAGCATTGGTGATGGATAGCCTCTGGAACACTAGAGACAGTTTTGGGACCCTGAGGGGTGGGCAGAACACTGAAACACCTTATAGTTAGGAGGGTGGCCAGGATCCTGCATGAGCTTGAGGTAGGAGCAAGACTTTGCAGGGATGACTTGGCGGAAATCAAATTTCTTTCAAGCTATCCTCATTAATTCCAATTTACAAGGTCTTGACGGACTATACCCTCTGCTATTGATTTATACCTGGTATTCAGGAAAATGCAGGTTCCTTGAATGTCAGGGACTATACCTATTTATTCTATTGGTTTTTGTAAGCCTAGTGCCCAGAACAGGATGTTGGAAGTTATAACTGATTAATAAATGCTAATTGTACTTAATTAAGTGGGTAAATGTGACTGCTGATCTAGCCAGTGATCTTAGGGAAATGTTATAGAACAATACATATACTGCAGTAATGGAAATGGCCTAATTTCTTGATTTTCCAAACACATTTAGAGTGTTTAGGCAAGTGTATATTTGGCATTTGAACAACATGGCCAACCCATCGAAGTTGTGCTCTCTGCATTGGAATTTGAATGCGTGGCAGTTTAGGTTCAGAAAGGACCTCAGTGTCTGGTATCTTCTTTTGCCACGTGATTTTCAGAATCTTCCTAAGACAATTCAAATGGAAGCAATTCAGTTTCCTAGCATGGCTCTGGTATACTGTCCAGGTTTCACAGGCTTACAACAATGAGGTCAGCACAACAGCTCTGTAGACCAAACCTTCAGTTTGGCAGGATGTCTAATACCTCTTCTCTCTCACACTTTCCTTTAGAGGCTCCCAAACATTCAGCTAGCTCTGGCAATGCTTACATTAACCTCATTATCAATGTGTACAACCGTGGAAAGTATAGTATCAAGGTAAATGAATTTATCCTCAGTATTCAAAATTCCTCTATTTCCTACAATAAATGGCTCCACATATGGATGGTGCAGTGCTTGCTGGTGGAACATCTGAGTTTTCACGATGTTAATTGTTAGGCCAAAAGTAACCCAAGCAGCAGGGAATCAATTTACATTTTGTTGCATCTAAACTTCAGAAGCTGCACTGAGTGCACATTGAAGTATGAAGATTAGTTGAAGGAATTGGGTTCATCTAGCTTGGAGAATACACAAGAGAAATGATAGATTGTATACACATACACACATACATAGATATAGGTAGATAGATAGATAGATAGATAGATAGATAGATAGATGATAGATATAGATAGATAGAAATGATAGATGCCTTCTGTCACTTAGAAGGGGAATTAAAGGCATTCTGCCGGGCCTCAGAGGGAAGAATCAATAACTATATGTGGAAGTGACAAAGAAGCAAATTTAGGCTTGATGTTAGGAAGAATATCTCAACAATCCATGCTTTTTCTAAAGTGAAATGAGTTGCTTTGGGACATAGCAGGTGATCTCTCTTTGGAAACCTTCCGGCAATACCTAGAGAATATTTGCCAAGTATGTATTAATTTGTGATAGTGGGAATACAAGTGTAAAGTCCCTATTGATTCTGGGATTATACTTCTCTAAATCTCTGAATATTTTACATTTTATGTTCTAAGGTGTCTCTCAATTTTAACATCCTATAATCCTATCCATTTATTATTAATTGTCACACAGCCTTAATTTTCAAAGAGGGAACTCTACCTACCAGAGGCTTTCAGGGAAAGGGGGGCCAGGGATATTGATGTCCTCATGATGGTGATGTCTGTTACAGGCCTTGATGGTGGCAACCTTGCAGGTAAAAACATAGTAAGACAAGTAAAGGAGCTCCCTCCGGCCCTGCTTCCGCATGAACAGATCTGACTCAATATCTCCTCATAACAATGAAATGCCTTTTGAGAAACCTCAGAAATTAAAAACAGACTCTTGTCTTAAGGGATAAAGAAAGCTTCTTTTATGGGGGGGGAGTAAAGAAGGGGAGTGTAATCAAATGAGAGCAAATATTGGGAGTGAAGTCCTAAAACAGTTCCAAAATAATCTCCTTCCTGAAGTGTTCAATAAATGAACAAGCTTAGACCAAAAGAATGAAGGAATTAGGACATAATACTATAGTAACATAGGGGTATAGAAAAATTATCACTGGATATGGTTTTTAAAATCTGAGTTCTAAGTTTTGCTATCTGTTTCGCAATAATTTACTATGTGATTCTGGAAAAGACAACCTCTCTGGACCTCGGCTTCTTCATTTGAATGCAGAATCCCTTTACTCCTGTGTTCACTGTGATCACCCTGAGGTCATCATTTACAATAATTCATAGGTTGCCCCCTGTTATACTTTTGCTAGACTATGTCATAGTCACATAAACTTGTCAATAAATTCAATTAAGGCATGATACAAAGAAAATAACAAAAATGGGGATCAAGTAATAAAACGTTTTTATGCCCTTATAAAAGGGATATAATCCACCTATCCAGGACAGTAATAATACGGGGCGTTCCAAAAGGCTTAGTGCAGCTGTAAGCAAATAAGGCTTTTGTGAAGTTGTATAGAATTCCAATTCAGAAAACCTATGCACTGAGTAAGCTATAATCTTATTCCCTTTGACTGCTTCTAATTCCCCAAAATGGTAGGAAGACACAATATTTTAAAATTCATAAAATCAATGACAAATAAGTGGAATATCATGATACTGGCTCATCATAGCTTTTCTGCAGAAATGCTATTTCACTTGTGCAGTCATGAGCATCACATTCAATGTACACCTCCAAATATTTGCTCTCTGGTATCCATTCATTCTGCTTCCCTCTCTGATCACATTCCAGTTTGTGTTGGCCCTATACAGATAGCTGGCTATTTTTTTTTTCAATTTTCCTGCCTCGTAGACAGAATTCTTTCCAATAAGAGTTCATGCCTAGTGAACATCACCATGCTATGGACTTTCAACATGTCCTTCTGGGAAATGTAGTATACAGAATTTTTCATGATGAATGAGACTCACTCTTCCCCCTAACATAGATTAGGGCTAAGATGAGTCATGACAACTGTATCGTCCTCATAGTTTAAAAAAATGCAATGTACGTAAAATCTTACCAGAAGTCCAGGCAAATCCATAGACACATATAAATATGTATTAATTAGTATATAGCATAGTCACAGACAGTTGTTACAGGTAATAATAATCACTAATAGCTAGTGTTGTATATCTTCTTAAGGTTTAGAAAGTGCTTTACATGTTAATTCATCTGGTGATGCGTATCAAATAAATAGAATTATAGAATACATCATTAGTCAATCAATAAGTATATACTAAGCCACAAAAATGTGCCTGAGGGCAGCTAGGTGGTGCAGTAGATAGAGCTCCAGCCTTGTAGTCAGGAGGTCCTGAGTTCAAATCTGGCCTCAGACACATGACACTCAGTAGCTGTGTGACCCTGGGCAAGTCACTTAACCCCGATTGCCTCACTAAAAAAAAATGTGCCAGGTACTATGCTTGGTGCCGGTAACATAAATATAAAGAATAAAACCATCCCTATTCTGAAGGAACTTAAATTCCAATGTGAGGAACAGAAAGTACATATATAAGTTGACTTATCACCTCCTAGGGCTATTTCCCTGACTCTTACTCCTCTTGGTGGCTAGGGTAATCAAAGGCAATTCCTTTGTCTCCTTTCATGGTGTTAGGGGCAGTGTTTCTAGTGCTATCACTCAAAAGTCCCTATTCAGTGTGTTCCACATGTGAGCCAGAATTAATTGCTTTTAGAAAGAGACATTAACTAATTTTATATAAGAGAGAGCAGTACAAAAAACATTCTCTTTCCCTCTTCCCAGAAATGTCTGGAGAGATACCTTCTCATGACTGTACACAAAATTTACAGGGAATGAGAGCAGAAACTTAGAAAGCATGTGTAGCAAACAATTCACAGTCCCTGTTTTGGACATCTTTTTGTATCTCTGTACAATTCTGATTACGTTTGCCTTAGATTCACCTCTCTACTGAGCTCAGAGTCAGTGTCCTTGTAGAAGCCTGACGTTATCTCTCCTCACTTCGTCTAGTTTATCCTTGGACTGTCTCTCAGCTGTAGTGCAGATGTTGCCATCAGCTGTTCTAGGACACTGCTGCTCTCACTAATGGGAATTCAAAATTTTTAACCTTTCAAAATTCACAAGATCAATGTAGATGATGGAAGAGAGAACTCAAGTCTCTCTCACAACCCCAAGGACAGTTTCCCCAAGCATCTTGAAACTGACCTGCTGCTAGAAAATTCTTTTGGTTCCAGTAAGTTCCAAACTTGTTATGATTTAAATTGCCTTAAAAGTATGACTGATGCTTCCAGCTAATCTTAATACATTTCCTGTGTTGAATCATTTGTTTTTGTTTAATGATTAAGGTATTTCACTATTCCCAAACTAATTAAGGACTCTTTTTGCATTTTTGACACATTTGATCAATTGATTAATTCAATCAAAAAGCCTAAGTCTTCTGTGTTTAATTGAGTTGGGGTGAACCTGCAAACTTACACAAAAATATAAAGGAAAAATGCAATAAATAAAAGGTCATTTAAGTGGAGTTAGCACTATCAGTTAGAAGGATCAGGAAAAAGTCCTTGTGCAAAATAATATTTGATCTGTGTCTCAAAGGAAGAAAGGGGAGTCCATTCCAGGCATAGAGGATGGCCAGTAGAAAATGAGCTCAAGCATCAAATCAAAATGCCATAACTTTCCAATGAGCTAAATCATCAATGAAAAACATCAACGTGCAACAGAGAAGCATATGAAGCTCTTCTTTCAAATATGGTCATTGGTATAGCTTTCCTTTAAAAGATAGGAAAATGGATTGTCTGGAACAGAGAGAGTAAAGAGTTTAATTAGATCACTGAGTATTGGAGAGAGGAGGTGATGGACAAATGAGTCTGGAGAGACAATTGGAGGCCACTTAACTAGTGGCCCAATGGATTGAGCATCAGGCCTGGAGTCAGGAAGACTTGTCTTTTGAATCTGAGTATATCCATTTCCTTAGCTACATAGATCCAAGTGGTCATAAGCTGTCTCTGGAGACATAAATTAGAAGATAATGAAGAAAGTGTTTCACATTTAGTACTCACATATTAGCATCACAGAGTGCATATTTATTGGTTCATATTTATTTTCTGATCTATGGTACAGATTGGTTTGAGGGTATCCAGGTATAATGCAGCTTTGCTTGTACCAGGCTATCTGTAGCAGCCATTTTTCAGACAGTGGTTCGTGTATTCCACCGGAGTCTTAGAACCTTCATCTTTGGCTCTTACAATATTCATACTTATTTGGGGTGTCCCTGTTCAAGTTTTCTGACCTTGAACTAATCACTTCCACTTTCTAAGTTTGACTTTCCTATTTTAAAAAATGAATCTTAAAATGCTGGAGCTACAAGAGACCTTAGAACACATAATACACAGTGTGAGCACAGAGAAAGGACCCTAAGAATATCTTTTAGAGAATTTTAGTACAATGGTCTTATTTTATAGTTGATGAAACTGTCGCTCAGAGGGGGTAAAAGACTTACTCAAATCACACAGCAAATCAATAGCAGATCCCCAAAGAAAAGTTAATTACCTTTTAACATCAAATTTTTTTGTTCTTTCTAATGTATCAATAAGGACCCTCAGAGCCCCCATACACAATTAACTATTCAAACTTTCTGATGTGAAACAAAATATTAGACTCACCTCTGTTCCTTTTAATTGATCATCTAAGAGAGAAAAAGGAGATTCCAAAGAATTAATTGGTCTATGTATCAGAAACACATTATCCTAATCTTAGTAAACCCTAACATGAATTAGGTAAAGCTTTTTTTCTTCCTAATTTCATCGTGGACAAGACTAACTAGGGTCAGGAAACGGATACAAGTTTTAGTATGGCCTTCGTCAACAGTACTAAGGGTTGATACTCACAAGGGAGAAGGGTTGAACTTGGTTGTCTAATACTTCCACTGAACCAGTTCATAGTCCAGAGGAAGTAGAATCATAAAGTGTGAGAGCTGGAGGGCTGCTAGAATATGGAACAGAAAATGTGAGAGGTAAAAGGGCACCAAGAATATAGAACATTAGAACCTGACCTCAGAATATAGATTTAGACAACTAAAAATATAGGTTTAAAAAGATATACAGGATAGGAGCAGCTCGGTGGCTCAGTGGATAGAGCTCTGGTCTTGGAGTCAGAAGGACCTGAGTTCAAATTTGGTTTCGGACATTTGACACTTACTAGCTGTGTGACCCTGTGCAAGTCACTTTATCCTGATTGCCTCACCAAAAAGCAAAAAAAAAAAAAGGATAAACACAGGATACAAGCAAGCCCAGGTGAAAAAGGATGATTATAAAATATAGGAAAGACCTGTAATAACAGCACTGGGAATGCTAAAGATTGCAATGAGCTGAAGTTAATAGGGAAAACAAAAGGCTTTTGCTTGTGTCTGTGTTCTCTAAGTTATTTTATTTAAAAAAAAGTAGGATCAAATAAGTCAATCACTGAGTCAACTAGCATGTTGTGCCAGCTGGTGTCTCAGGGAACAGAGTGTTGGGCCTGGAATCAGGAATATCTGAGTTCAAATCCAGCTTCAGACACTTCCTAGCTGTGTTACCCTGGGCAAGTCAGTTATCCTTGCTCTGTCTGACAAAAGGATCCACTGGAGGAGGAAATGACAAACCCTTTCAGTATCTCTGCCAAGAAAACTTTATGGAACAGTTATGATTTATAGGGTCATGAAGAGTTCAGACATGTCTGAATGAGTGAATAACAGCAATGTGTGCCTGGGGAGACAAAAAAAGATAAAAGACAATCCCTGGTTCCAAGGCACTCACAACATAATGGAGAAGACAACACGTAAATCACTATGAACAAACAGGATAGATTCAGGATAAACTGGAAATGGTCATCAGAAGGAAGGGAATGAGATTAAGAGTAGAGTGAGTAATGGCTCAGGGCAAATGGAGAAGCTAATGTATGACAACATGAAAACAGAGAAGCTCAACTCTCAAGTTGCTTTAATTTTCTTAGACTATGAGAATGATTTATAGATTACAAAGGACATGACCAAAATGGTTAATAGGAAGTTGATAAGCAAAATACCTCAGGACATCATAATAGATGACTTGACTTTACCTTGATGATTTCAAGACAGCCTGGTAAAGTTCATCCTTAGGAACTGGAAGAATGTGCATTCAGTAAAATATAAGCTCTTTAAGGACAGGGACTATTTGTGTTTTTGTGTTCATGTCCCTAGTCCCTAGCAGAGTGCTTTGCACCATTAGGTGCTTGATAAGTGTTTCAGTTTAAGTGACCTAAGTGTAATTGCTGCGCTATTCTCAATGATCTTTGAAAAACTGTGCAGGATGGGACATTATGAGCCCTTGTTAACCTTCCACTGACCCTGACTTTGTAATTGGGGACTACAATTTATATGTTGATGCCTTCTGAAATATCCTTTTTTCCTAGTACATCAAAGTAGTGCACTGTCATGATCTGAACCTTCCCTCTACCCCAGCCATATATAAGAATAGCCACACCCTTGGAGTCACTAGTACCCAAAGTGTTCTATCTCTATAATCTATAACTCTAAAATTCTTCTATCTAACCCTATCCTCATTGCTTTACTTATCTCTATCCTCATCCTTTCAAATGTATTTTTCATTCTCACCATAACCTCTAATCACTCCACTCTGCTTTATTCGGGGACCATGCTGTTATAGATGCACTTTCATTCATGGAAAATCTTGGCCTCATAGTTAAGAATTCCAACTTCAGAGTTTCATGTGCTCTTGAATCCTTGAATCCTTTGTCCTATTGCTGCATATCTCTTTCCTAACCTCACATCTGAGTCAATTTTGCCTTCTGCCTTTCCACTCCTTTCTCATGCTGCAGAATATTGCTAGATGAATTCATACAACTGTTCTTACTGGTTCCAATACCAAAGAGTAATGCCTGTTTCTCAGACTCAGATGGTTTTAGTGGGGGAGAAGAACTTAAGGCCTGTTCCCTTACAACAGGTATATCACTGAAGGTTGTAAACAGAAGAGTCACCAGGATTTTCCTAAAATGGGCAGAGGAAAAAGACTAGGTAGTGATATTGAAAGGGCTTTTTGAATGCGATAAGGGTCATCAAAGAGCTTCCCTTGCACTAAATATTTGGCAGGAAGTCTATACGTGACTCATAGTTTCTCCCAAACACTTCCTTTACACATCATCAAGACCCTCTGAAATGTTGCCAGCAATCAGATAGTGCACTGAACGGGAAGGCAGAAAATAAATGTGAGACGTCCAGGCGGAGCAGTAAAGACTGAGTCAGTTTATTCATCTGAGGGTAAAGGATATATAGAGAAAATCTAGCCTAACTTCAAAGAGTGTTTCCCGTGAGACACTCCCCAAAACATCTGCTGAGGATGTGACAACATACATTTCCTCGTTATGAGGGTTCCTAGATTGGGTTGTAGTTTCCAAGGCTTTCCCATGTGCCTTGGTGCCACCTGCATAGAGGAGTGAATGTGTAAATCTAAGGTTCAAAGAGTGAGAAGGAATGTCTCAGTAGCCTCCCTTGCAGGGAGAGATTTGGAGAGCCCTGGTTCCTAAATGATTGAGCCTTGTGGGTTAAGCCTGGACAAGAGGCAAATTCTGTCCTGGATGTTAAACCCAGATCAGACTCTTAGAGCTGGCCCTCAACTCAGAAACAAGTTCCCAAGTGTCCTCCATGTAGAGAAATGGAATCATCCAAGTAAGTTTAAGGTGTCTGCTCATGTGTCTGAACCTCATAATACAATGAAAATGAAACTTCAAAATGAAACAGGATCAAGAAGAACACCAGATACAGGAGAAAGAGAATAGGAAGAGCAGGAGAAAGCAATGGCAAATCCAGGATGCAGCTTAGAGAGATGCAGAGGGTGCACAAGGAGGGGAAGAAATGGGAGGTTGTTGAGGAAGGACTTCAGACAGTAATAGAAAGGGGGAGAAATGCTTTTTTGCAGATAATTTACTTATTTTTATATGGAATATGCAGGGATTCAGAGAAGCAGTTCAAATGAACATGTTAGTGTTGACTTCTCAGGAATATGAATTTGAAAAGCAATTCAATGAGAACAAAGCCATCCAGTCGATGCAAGAGAACTGGAAGAAAATCGTTCTTATTTTCAGCTCTGTATGCTGCCTTTATATTTGGTGGTCAGCACCTAATGAACAAATGGGCAAAGTTGGAAGTCAGGAAGCCACTTGTACTGTGGTCCCTGAGCATTGCAGTCTTCCATATAGGGTTAGGGTATAGTTGTTGCTCTTCAAACTGGTGCTTATATTGTGTACATTTTGATGACCAAAGGCCTGAAGCAATCAATTTGTGATCAGAGTTTTTACAATGGACCTGTCAGCAAATTTGCGTCTTTTGCATTTGTATTAAGCAAATCACTTGAATTTGGAGAAACTATTAATTATTTTTCAAAAACAGAAACTCATCTTACTACATTGGTGTCACCACATCACTGTGCTGCTCTATTCTTGCTACTTTTAGAAGGACATGGTTGGTTCATGACCATGAACTATGAAGTGCATGCAGTAATGTATTCCTACTATACCTTGCAAGCGGTGGGGTTCCAGGTCTCACCGAAGTTCACCATGTTCATCACCTTGTTTCTGATTACACAGATGTTGATGGGTTGTGTAGTTAACTATCTCGATTTTTCCTGGATGCAGCAAAACCAGTGCCGCTCTCATATTCAGAACATCATGTGGTCCTCACTCATCTATCTCAGCTACTTTGTGCTCAGGGTCATCAAGAAAAGAAAAAAAAACTAAACAAAATAAAATGGCACCAGGTATCATATATATGGTCCAGCTAAATATAATAATATTAATAATTAAAAAGCAAGCTTGGCAGCTTAGGGGTAACTAGGTTGATCTAACCCAATAAATGTATGATCCTTTTGTGGTGAGGACTCATTGAGTTCAACTCCATCTCAAAGAACTGCTGCTAAGAGACACCATCCCTCTCATACCTGTCAAGTGTAGGAGGAAAAATGAAAGAAGAAAGAAAGAAAGAAGAAAGAAGAAAGAAAGAAAGAAAGAAAGAAAGAAAGAAGAAAGAAAGAAGAAGGAAGGAAGAAAGAAAGAAAGAAGAAAAAGAAAGAAGGAAGAAAGAAAGGAAGGAAGAAGAAAGAAAAAGAAAGAAAAAGAAGAAAGGAAAAAGAAAGGAAGAAAGAAGAAGGAAGGAAAGAAGAAGGAAGGAAGAGAAAGAATGTTATTAACAAACTTTATGAAAAAAGTATTTAGTAATCATCATATTTCCCTAAAACAGAAGACTTTTACTGAAAACCAAACAAAAAAAAGTATTTTTATATACTGTCTATTCTTTTTCAACACTAAACTTGAGCCAACAAAAAAAAGACAAAAAGGTTGGAGGTGCAGGGGGTGTGCGTATAAAACCAACACTTTGGCAGAAATGAAAACTTTCCTTGTGAAAGGTTGGCAGTTTTAGACTAAATTCAAAAGGTATTTAGAAGGTTTCTTTAAGTGAACATGAGCCACAACTTGATGAGTAAGAGAAAAGCTTGATGGTTCCCACCGCAATCTAGAATTTGTGTTCAACCCTTGATCAGGTTTTCAAAATGAGGAACAAAACATGACTGCCCATTTCTAAATGAGAGAGAATTTGTCCAAGGGCATGTCCGATGGAAGTCTGTTGATTTCTATTATTGCGCAGGATAAAAGAGATTCATCTTTGTTCTTTTACCAGAGACTTTTAAAAAGAACTTTGGAGGGGAGGGGAAAAGAGACAGAAGAAGAAGAAGAAGAAGAAGAAGAAGAAGAAGAAGAAGAAGAAGAAGAAGAAGAAGAAGAAGAAGAAGAAGAAGAAGAAGAAGAAGGCGGCGGCAGCAAAACCACAACCAAATTATATGAAAATTGGGGGACAAGATGGTGGAGTAAAAAGGTAGTTGCTCTCACTCTCCCCTATCAACCTCTGAAAACCAGAAAA